ATGCCTCCGCGGCCGCATTGCAAAATATAATAAAAGCCTTGACGAGATTGAATAAATAAAAGGAATCCTGTAATATATTCCGAATCTGGATTGTCATTATTTAAACCCAGGAAATTAAGGATTAGCGTGCACTTCCCTGGCCAGGATATTGGTGTCCATTAGATGTTTGATCTGTTCTCGATTTTTTTCCGGAAATATTGGTAAATATATTGTCTATTATCTGGAAATATCTCCTTTGTTATTATGATCGTGCAATCTATTTAAAATTGCAATTTTCGGGCCAAGGCATATTCAATGGCATGAAGAATTTGATTCAGCAAGGTTAGTTGTTTAACAGACAAATCCGGTATGGTTCGTATGTTAAATTCGCTGTATTTTGTATCGTCCGAATGCTAGGATCTAGCCGCAAATGAAAAGATCTGGTCATATGCAAAATATATTGAGAATATTTTAGGTAAATGAATATTCCAATGAAAGAATCGAATGAATGAACAAAAGGTATGGCATAAATCTCATTGATGACAACAATGATTCAATTTGGCAATTGACATCTATACAAACTAATTTTATATTAATTGATGGTAAACAAATTATTTTGTCAGATCTTTGGGCCACTGCTTTTGAGTGAGCTTCGTTTTGATCAAGAAATTCAATACAAAATATCTTAATGGGGCCATTGAAGCTCAAGAAATATCCGTACCTTCGGGTATGAAGCCCACCACGGGCCAAACCGATCCTGACCGACAATGAAATGACAAAAATTAAATATTGATTATATTTTTGATTCATAATATAGCATTGAATAAATCGCCCTCTAAAATTTTGTGTTGAAAATCATTATTTTTTGAAATGAAATATAAGAATGATTTCAAATTAAATAACCTGGGAGGCACCTTTGATTTCAAAGGACATATTAATATTATGAATATTATGATATTTATACAAATATTAAATTATTATTATACGACCAATTTTTTCGGAATAAAGGACATATATTCATCTTGGATTGGATTAGATAGCAATCATTGGATTGATATGCAAATATTTTGTTAAAAATATAGGAATCCTGTAATAGGAATATGGAGATATCCGTGGTATTCGTTAAATTGGCCTATGCATTCGTGGCAGAGGATGATATCATACCCCTGAATCGATATTTTTTTCATAATTTTGATGGAGATCCTGATATATCAAAAAATTGGTGGTGCAAGACAATTGAAATAAAATTGATTTAATCGAAGGACCGATAATTGATTTGAAATAACATATCCCAATATTGAAATTGGATATTATAATATATTATTGTATTATCGATTGCACAAAACGATTCCTCGACGATGGCCTAAATTCAAATTTATAAAAACGGTCCTTGAATAAAAGATTCATGATTCTTGATATTTATTATATAATCTAGTGCTTCTGGATCGAATGAATTAAGATATTGCTATGACAAAGGCATAACGATGAATACCAGGGAGCGCCGGTCTGATCGCAATCGGCAAAATGGAATTTTTGAATGAAATAAAATAGAGATAGATATTTATGGGATGCCTGAATCTATAGAAATTCATAAAGAATTTGGAGCAATGCGAGCATGTAGGAGTTATATTTAGGGCATCTTTTAGAGGCAGAAACATATTTTCTGTGTGATATGGGATTATATAAATAATCTATATATATATATATATATTTCCATATATTTACGTCTCGAAAATAACAATGGCACTCTAGGAGGCAATTGCCTGGGCTTCCAATTGGGATATTATATTAATAGGGTAATTTGGAATCAACATCTTAATTCCTCCATATTATATGGTTGTAATTGGCGCAAATAATCATTTAGTGGTCAATGCATCAACCAATAAGATTTTTTTGATTGGGGAGGAATATCTATGGAGGTTCAATATGCAATCTTATATATGAGATGGATAGACGATCGAATCATGCGATGATATTGATTGAATATGTCAATGATTTGAATGATATTTCTAGGGGAAATATTAATTTGAGAATATAGAAAATATACAATTATTATCTAATAATAGGGCGTGGCATCGATCAATAATCATTTCTTGAGAATGCAAAATTGTAATTGTACAACGACGAATCATCTAGAATCCATATTGATATTGAATATTCAATATAGTTAATAATAATATCAAGAATTAATGGTTCATTAGTTCATGATGCAATGATAATAATTTGACGAAATCACAGATAAGGACCAATTTTTACGTATCGAATCTAGAATTTCAAGAATGATTTGATTTTATATAAATGAATTTCAGAATCATAATCCTCTTGATAAAATTTATCTAAAATTGAATATATAGAATTCAAAGGAGAGATCGTGGAGGATTTCGAGATTCATGGAAACTGATTGAACAATCCACCTCAAATGCATATAATATTTATAGATAATTATATAATTAATGATGCATTGGTATCGTATGGAACAAGGAAATCATGGAGGAAAAGATATATATATATATATTTAATATCCAGAAATATGATTTATTTTTAGATTCCTGTTCAATTCCTTTCGATATTTTGATCCGGATAAAAAATATCTTATGGGGAATCCATTATTCATAAGATTGCTACCCCGAAAGAATAATCTTTTTCAAAACATAATCAGGAATAATCAGGAATAAAATTCGATAAATTTCTATTGAGGAAATTCTGTAATCCCCTATATGCCCTTGGCAGAGATATTCTATTGATATAAGGTCCTCGCCATCTAATAACGAAATATTAATATTACGATCAATAAATATTCCTTAATATTATGATGGGGGGGAAAAATATATTCCGATATATTACGAAATTGATCATAGGAAATCCATCTTATATGAGGATTTTAATGATCAATAAATTAATTAATTCATATCAAATATCGACCTCAATAAAAGGAATTTCAAAAAATCTTGCAGGGCTAGGATCGAATATAATATTATAATATATATTATTAAATTTGTTCAATTCTTTATACGGATAAACTGGATCCCATAATTATCGAATTTTTGTCAAATTCTGCAATATCAATTAAATATTTAATATATTTATATATCAATTCAATATTTGCTTTAAACAAATAAAATAGATATTTATTTGCACGATTGAATTTGAATAATTAAATACAAGATTGAATGAGAAAATAATCAATGAGATAATTAAAAGAGAATTATAATCTATTTCTTAATTATAACATATTAATTATGGACGATATATATATATAATTAAATTTTGTAAATATTTATATTAAATATTAAAATCATATAATCTATACATATATTACTAAAAGAAATCAAAAATCATTTTGATGATATAATCAATGTAATATAATTACGATATTCTGTATTTATAAATAATAAATAAAGAAATAATATGTATAAATATAATCGAAACATTATTCATTTAATAATATATATATTATTCATTAAAAACAATATATATATAATAGAAATCATATTATTAAATATATATATATAAATATAAAATATAATCAAATTTTATTATATTTAAGGAAATTTATTTTTCTTTGCAACAATTTTATATATAATCTATATTCAAATAAATCAAAGAATTTAAAACATATTAAATTCGATCAAAAAATATCATCCATTTACATCAATATTTATAATAAATTTCTATATTTCTATATATAATCATCCTAAAATAGACAATTATTTTCATAGGGTATATAATATTCCCTTAATTCTATAAAGATTCATCCTATAAATAAAATATATTAGTAATATTTATATCAATTCCTTCCATTCCGATATTTAATACTTCATTGTTTTTATATATTACTAAAGCTAAGACTTAGTCATCCGGATTTGCAGAAAATCATCCGCCCGCATATAAATACAATATTAATCAAAAAAACATCCGGTTTGCGAAAAATCGTCCGTCTTAGATTAAAATACAATAAAAATGCTCTACGGAAGTATATTTATCACCATTATTAAATATCAAACATTCATTACCTTTATATTTAAGAAATAATCAATTTTATATCGAAATTTCCAATATTTTAATACTCATCAATCAGAATTCATTAAAATTAATAAAAATAAATATAATATGCTAAAAACACATCAATTACTTAATTAAATATCGCCAAGATTAAAATAATTCAATCCCATCGAAAATATAATTACATTTAATATCATTATTTTACATTTAAATTTATCACATCCAATTATATTATCATTTTCCATTTAATATCATTATAAATCCAATATTTATATATTTACAAAATCAAACGATTTAATATAAATATTAATATTCCTATATATATTATTTAACAAACAACAAAAACAACAACGACAACCACAACCCCAACCGCAACCGCAACCGCAACCACAACCACAACCACAACCACAACCACAACCAACAACCAACAACCAACAACCACAACCACAACCACAGCAGCAACAACAACAACATCAACAACACCAAAATGACTTTGCTTTCCCACAGCGGCCTCAGAGAGGCATATTTGCGATACGCCAGCATGGCGAAAAGCTGCAATGCAGTTTGCGTGGACAATAGCGATAATGCATTGGCGATGCTGCTAAATATATAGGTAGCCAGGGGTGTCATAAATCATATTTTAAAACCACTTAAACCCAAAAATTCAAATATGTTTTTTCTTTAAACATAAAATATTAAATATAAAATAAAAATTCCTTTAACCATATTATATTTATAAAATTTTAATTAACTAATTTAAAATAGAAAATTAATTTCTAAATATTTATCCATTATATTTTATACAATATAAATATATATATATATATAAATATTCAACAATAAAAAACAACAATATATCATCAATATATAAAAATCAATATTTTCATATATTATAAATATACATAATATAATATGATTTATATCTCTATATTCCAATATATCATTCATTTTATTTTACTAAATATGTATTCAACTTATAATTAACTTCTAAACCTATCGTTAAGATATATATTTTTATCATCGGCTCTTCAATTTCTATCCGATTACACTACTGTGCTCTTCTCTTTGCAACGTAATAAATTATGCTACCAATTAACAACAAAATGATGATAGCCGAACAAACATAGACCCATGTTCCGGTTCGACAATACCCAAACGTTGAGATAAAGGCTTTGGTTCTGATGTCGGGGTCTGAGAAACGAGATGCTGTTGCACACTGATTGAATGGGTGCTTTGGGCAATGGCATACATCTGGAAACTTGCAGCCCAAGCCATAGTCGAAGCCGCCGTCCACGTTGATGATGCTGACGCTAGGAGGGCATTCACCATCGTGCATCATGGCATACCCTGTGATGGGTATGACGGCCGCTGTCAACGCCACTCGGTAGAGCGCATTCGCTCCGTTGATGGCATCAGCAAGGACTCCGTTGACTCCCAGCAGTGTCTGTTTGTGCGACTCCTTGGTGTGAGTGAGGTTGACCTCGGTGTGGCGTCCGAGGTCTAACCCCACACATCCAATTCAGCTTCTGTTTGCAGGAGAGAATATGATGAGAATATGTTGTTTCGTTCTATTTGCAAGTTCATCTACAGCATTCCTTCTTCGTCTTTACATGTCAACTTGAGAGCAAAGCATATGTAGCATCAACACCGTGGCATGCAACCCTCTCCTGCGAGTCAGCCCTGAAGGACAAGACGGGCGAAGCCAAAAGCAATATGACAAAGGAGACGAGGACCATGTGTGAATTGATCTGGCAACGAAAGTGATATCCTGGTTTCACCTGTGAGGCTCGAGCTTGTCACAGCTTCCAAACAGAACGATCAAGGGAAGCACAACAGAACTTACACGGAGACCGTTGATGCGGTCGCGTGGACGGCGGCAGCTTTTGTTGATGTTTGTGCAACTTCTCGCTCCCTGTACATTGTCGAACGAATTCAATAAAAACTTAGCCATGAGGCCAGGACATGGCGAGTGCATGCCCAACCAGAGTTGCTCTGGCACTAATTAGTAGACATGGGAGAATAAAGTGAACACGGGTGTGATGGAAGTGGGTCTTGCTTTGCTTTTATCATACTCATGTGGCTCTTCGAACCAACATTTATTGCAAGTTTGAGAGGTGCAACAGTTGAGACAAAAAATCAATTACGGCCGGAAAAGGCTACCTTGTGTTACAGCCTCAGTCAAAGGCTCAGTGCCGGTCGTGTACCCATAAGATTCCTTCAGCATCGCAACAAGAATGTTGTATTTCTTGACAAATGGATCCTATGTAGCTGTTTTTGTGCAATTTCTTGCATGGCCGTTTGCAATGAAGTTGAAACGGAATTAGACTTGTAGGGGGAGTTTCCCCAAAAATCTGGTAACCAAATAAATAGTGCGAGCGCTTCTTCAAGGAAGCTCCCCCCCCGCCCTCATGCGTGGAGGCTTCCTTGAAGAAACGTGAGCTATCCTGCCTCCATGCTGGTAGCTTAAGTAAGGTACTTATTTAAGTAGGCACCTTCTTAATTAGGTAGGGGGGGAGCAAAAACAAGGGTGTGGTGTGATTCGAGTCCTTCTCATCTTCACCACGCTCCATCTCTTCCAGCTCATCGTCGGCAAAGTGTCCTTAGTTCGGCTTCATGGATCGGCCATCGGGCCGCTTTCAACGTCAACACCATGCTTCACGAAGATGTCGGACACATGATTGAAATCCATAACATCCAATAATTAGACATAAATATATATATATATGTGTTATATTGATACTATGTACATGTAAATGCATGTAAATCCTATTATTGGTAGACGTCTTCGAATTGTTTCCTGACTAAAAGAAACTCCTTTGACAATTTGAGCAGTTCCTTCTGAATTCGCAATTTGTGAACATTCTGCCATGACTCGATTCACATCACGTACACCCGCTTGCCGGAGAGCGTTCCGCACACGGAACAATGCGCGGCGCTTGGCGCGGACCAGGCTGTCTGCCTAAGCAAAAACATGATCAAAATCAAAGATTGTTTCTCCAAAGCCTGGCAGCCTTTATCTAAAGCTTGGCATTGCTGTCCACCTCCACCATGTCAGTCCGCACTTTAAGCTACAATTCTTGAATCCAAATGATATGATCAATCACAGTCAATCAGCCAGTGGCCGCAAGTTTCTACCACCGTCATGTTGTGATCTGAAAGAACGATCGTTTGTGATGTCTATGATTGTCTTACTCACAGCATTTGCCACACACCTACCACCGAAGGACATGTCTGGAATTGACATAATTTGACGGCCCACCTGTTGCATCAGCAAGGGCCGACTGTTTGCACGCTCCATGATATTTCGCAAGTCCTGCACAGTTTGCCATGGAGAAAATTACATATTAAGCATATTTTTATAGTTATATCTATAACTATATGTATATAATATATTATATGCATTACCAACAAAAACAAAAAACTATTCCATGCATTTCCAGCATACTTTTGAGGTGCAAAGAGCACAGGAATGATTGACCAACGCAAGTCTTTTACAGTTGCAACAACATCCACTCCACTCTGCTGTAGAGGACTTGGTGGCTGCCTCTATTTTTTGTTCATTGCCTTGCTCTTTGCCAATTATTCTGCGCTTTCGTGGTTTTCTCCCTAGGTCGATCTTTCTGTACTAGTATTGCGACGAGAAATGAGTTTGGTTATACTGAATATTCTTTTGCACGCTGTTTGAATTTTAGTCAAGAGAGAACCAAATAAAACCAACAATTAGATCATGCTGTGTGGAGTTACACCAAAGGCCAGCACTCCTCTGCTTTCTGTCGCTGTGTGCGCTGTAGGCCACGGCGTTTGTCAGAGACAATTCGATCTATCTTTTGCTCCAAGGGCTCCACTTTCCCCATTGCCTGACTTCCGAAAAACTGTCCATATTCTATGCTGTTCCTCTAAAGGGTAGCTGCCTTCTCCAAATTTTCGTGCACAATGGACTGGCAAACATCATCAGGATCCTGGAGAAGCAAAAACTGCAGCCTGCCTGCTTCACGCGAAACTTCATTTCGTCATTCGGAACCTCAAGGCAGTCTGCAAACAAATTATGTACCGGCAGGCTGTGTAGTTAATTGCCATGAGGTCCAGTCCCTGGTCCCATGAGTACAAACATTCACTCAAGAGGGCAACGTCTGCGGTTTAGCCTGTGAGTATCTAAGTTTGCAGGTTATTCGTTCCACCTCTGCCACATGCTTTATGATCCTCTCACGAACACGCACACCCACACACTTCGATCCATGCTCGCAAGAGTTTTTTCAGTTTGCGAATTCCCGGAAGCTAGTTGCTGCATTAGCACTTTACTGCAAAGCACGGAAGGAGACAGCTCAAGCTCCACTTAGAACTTAGAACCACAAGTTAGTTACTGCATTAGCACTCTATTGCAAAACACTTAGAAACACCATTCGAAAGCGAGAGTGAAGGTACATCCAGCTGGCCAAGCTGGATATCCCATTTCACTGGTAGCTTCATCGGACAGTCCCAATGAAACGCTGTGTCCCCCTGCAGGTCTGTACACGGTAACGGATTAAAGGTTAAAAGGGGAATTCTACCTAGACGATGTGGTCGTTCTCCTTGGGGACAGGAGGACACAAATCAGCCGAATCGGCGCTCCCTTGATTGAAAAAGTTAACCTGTTACCTACAAAGCCTCTAGCAACGAACGAAAGCCAGGAAAGAAACGAAAGAACCCTGGAAAGAGAGAAAGCAAGACCGTGCATGAATTACTCAGTGTGAAGCGTACAAGTGAATACTTAGCAGCACGACATGAAAAAGACCTGAGTTACGCATCAAAAGCCTTTAGCAACGAGAGAAAACCTAGAAAACGAAGAGAAGCAGCAAGAGAGAAATAAAGACAACATCAAAGTAATACTTAGCCGTATGAGTCGCCGCATGGGTGAATACTTAGCCGCGTGACATGTCAATCTACAGAGTGATTACTTAGCCGCGTGGTATGTCATTCTATGAGTTGTCGGCAGTAAGCTCTGCAGCATTTGGTCAGCAATCTCGAACAGTCAGCTAATCAGGGAGGTGTCAAACAAGACGAGTGATCACTGACAACTCCCCCTTGAGGGTCTATGCTCAACACGCCCTGTAGGGATCACACATCAGACCACAGTGGGACCCTGTTGCGAAACACACTTCGATCCATGCTCGCCAGACCTTTATCAGTTTGAGAATTCCCGGAAGCTAGTTGCTGCATTAGCACTTTACTGCAAAGCACGGAAGGAGACAGCTCAAGCTCCACTTAGAACTTAGAACCACAAGTTAGTTACTGCATTAGCACTCTACTGCAAAACACGGAAGGAGACAGCTTAAGCTCTACTTAGAAACACCATTCGAAAGCAAGAGTGAAGGTACATCCAGCTGGCCAAGCTGGATATCCCATTTCACTGGTAGCTTCATTGGACACAGTCCCAATGAAACGCTGTGTCCCCCTGCAGGTCTGTACACGGTAACGGATTAAAGGTTAAAAGGGGAATTCTACCTAGACGATGTGGTCGTTCTCCTTGGGGACAGGAGGTGACACACACACACACCACACACCACGAGATGTGTTCCAGAAATGAAATTAACAATTTGCACGGAAAAACGTAAATCAACTAAACTGAAGTGACAACCTATGACATCTATGACTTGCCATGACTTCGTAAAGGACTTCTTGATCTTTTTTGCCCTTTCGGTCGGCCTCCTTCAGTTCTTCCTCTTCTCGCATTTCCTTGAGCCGACGCTCTTGCAGCTTCCTCAAGGTGGCTAATTGGTAGCTGGTCACCTGCATTGAAGGCTTAGCGGGCACCACGCTAGGAGAAAACTGAAGGCACCGATTGCTTGCTGGTGGTTCCGGTCCTGGACAAGAAACAAGTACTGGCCATCTATGAAACTCTTTGATATGATCCAATTTTAATCATTAAACTGTGCCCCCCCAAAAAATGACACGAAAGCACCGACCAAGCAAACCAAGCACCTTCTCTGTACTGCGCACTGGCGCAGGTGGCTGTGTGCTAGGAGGTCCTGGACTCAGCTGGACGGATGCTGAAGGGTATGTTAGGACTGTTTCTTTGTCATCCTAAATCCTAATTATAATGTTTCTTTGCAAGAGATCTGAAGGAAGATGAATAGAAACCCAAACTCTGACTTATCCTGAACAGCTGACTTCACCAGTGAACCCGGTCAACAACCGGAACGATTCTCATTGAGTCGCATAGAAAAGAGGATTTGACGACCTGTTTGATGTGCCTCGGACCCGATGATATCGCCAGTCTCGTGTTGGGTCCTGCCATTTTTGGCATCGGTGGACATTCTGGCATCAATGAGCACACTCGGTGTGAGGGAGAATGACAAAGATTGACATATTGAAGAAGAACATTGCCAATGTGGACGCATGGACAGTCAAGACATTCGAGCAATGCCCAAGTTCTCAAGACCTTACTATCATACAAATCTATTCAATTACAATTACAGTAGATAATTATTACACAAAACACATGCCTCTGTTAGCGGCCTTAAAAACAGATTCAATGTCTCTTGCACCTTGGGCATCGGAGGCTGCCGGCTCTGGCTACGCGTTGGAGTGTTGAAGACAAAGGGCTCTGGCTGGGTGACAAAGCGATTCATGTATTTCCGCCGCTCCAACCTGCAAAGGCCAAAGCTGCCTTGCCAAGGCTTTGGTTCTACTTGCACCTTCGTTCTACTCTGTTTTCGTCAAGACTCGAGACTAACCTTCCAACCGCCAGGAATGTGACCACACCGGTTGCCATTAGCAAAAAAGGACGTATCAATAATTGAATTGTTCACCAATTATTGATACGTCAATGTCTTTCTTTTTGCTAGTTATTGCCACTTAATACAATATAGGTGGACAATTCGCTCTGCGATCATCTGCGATCTGGTGGCTGTCGCTTGATCCGCTCGTGGCGTGCTGCAAAGTCAGGGACCTCCGTGCGGACGTTCAAAGGCTGTGAGGGTTTTGTGAGGGTTTTCCGGTCAAAGTGGCCAGCAGGATCCAGCAAGTGGCATATCTCCACTCAAATTTGATCAACATTGAACAATCTTTGCCAACTTTTGATTCCAACTGCTACTTCATGCAAGCACAGCAAGCCATTGATAGATAATTGGTGGCCACCCGACTCCCTACTGGCCAAAAACACAACGACTCCATGCAGTACTGGACCTCTGTCGTCGGAGGATCTCGTGGCACTTCGCGTTCCGGCCGGGAAGCAGATCGTGGCCGTTGACCACGGGTCGGCGGACCTGCGGACCACGGGTGGCCCGAAACAAGCAAGGGGATGAAAGAATGACCCATGGCTCTAGAAGTATAGTGCTCGACTGCAAAGTAGCACCATGAGGCAAAATATACAAAAAAGCCCTGACGTTTTGTCGTTTTGTCCTTGCCTCTCCTATTCCCCTCCAACCTGTTCACCTGAACGTGGACTATAAATCTCTGCTTGGCGCTTGGGAAGCTCACTTTTCTAACCTTCCGGATCCAGCAATGGCTGCCCGAGCTCGATAGAGTTTCCAAGTGGAGCACGGGGGCAAATCTTTTCGAAAATATGCCTCGCGAGGCGCCTGGGTGCATTTTCCAGTTAAAACAAATGGTGAGTGTGCTCAAGTATTCTGTCATGGCAACCCCCATGATGCCGTATGGCTGCACTTTGACATACCCTGACGTCTTGGAAGCACTCTCTCTCTCTCTCTCAATTGTCACACATCAGTTTACTCTTCAATGACCGTGTATTCTTCAAAACATGGCATGAAGGTTCAGCTGAGCAGCTTGAGAATACCAAGAAACGTCCAACCGTTGAGTTCAGTCACCTTGCAACAACGGCCAGAACTGAGCATGCCTGTTACATATTGTTACAGTATGTAGCAACACGAGGCTCTTTATACTTTTCGTTGGATTCATCTAAGTTTGACCTTTCATTCACAAAGCAATCATACTTAGATGCCCCAAAGCTAAACAAAACCGTTGCAATTCCTGAACAATACATTGGTAATTATATGTTACAAACAAACAAAAAACAAAAAACACCCCTTGATCACCCTCTTTCTTTGTGTTCTTGTGCTTGGTTCGGCCTCTCGTCTCAGAATCTGCTCCTCCGCTTGGAGCTTCTGGACGTCTCGTTGCCTCATCCGGCTCTTTTCTTGCAGAAACCGTAGAAGGCCTTGCAGCTCACCATCAGAAGCTTCCTGGGGAAAGAAACCGACAGCGGATTCTTTTTTTCACAGCATGATGCAATCATATGCCATCTGCAGCATGTTGTTTGCTCAACATCCCCCAGTCACTGACATCCCTTCTTGCCTTTTATCGTTCATTGAGGTATGTTGAGGTATTATGATGATCCATTGGCAAGAAGACTCAATAAAGTACTGGTACAATTGTTTGGCTTTACATGCACTCATGCAAATGTCTGCCCTGCCTGAAGCCTGCTTTGGATCTTCAAGGTGATGGTATCTTTGGCTGCTTGTCCCAAGAACTCATCCAAATCTTTCTCCAGTACTCTGAAAGACACCTGACTACGCCAGCACTTCAGGATCAGCCGAGCAGCTCTGTATCGCTTAAATACCTCCACTCTCTGACGCCTAGCCGCTTGAATACCACGGTGTCCACACCACAACCTTTGGATTGTCAGGGCACTTGCAGCGCGCTTCTTTGAACGAATGGCAAGCAACTTGGAACGCCAGAAAGACTGCAAGATGGGCACGGCAACACGCTTCCGAGCAAAAATCCATCGCAGGCGACGTGCACGGCCCCATGCTTGTATGAAGCCTATGGCTCTCTTCCGCTCCTTGACCTTGCTACGTGCACCCAGTCCTCGTCGCCAACTCTGAATGCGAACCACTGCTCTCATCTTACGCATCGCAGTGACCGTCCTTCTGGCAATAAAACCGCGACCGTTCGCCTGTAGCTTTCGAACAGCCTCTAGAATGGTATCGAAGCGTTTCCGAGCTTGGTGAAAGCGCACAAAAGCCTGGAGTTGCACTGCTGCGGCACGCCGCACTGCTGACAACGCATGGCTCAATGCTTCCACTGCTTCACGCTTCAGAAAAACAAGGCTCTTTCCAACCGCCCAGGTCTGCCGCGCAATGACAATGCCAGATCGACGAGGTGTGCGTGGCGTGCGGCTCCCGGGTGTTCGGGGACTGGGCGAAAGTGGCTCTGACAAATGTTCAAACAGAATCCGTGCTGCTGAAGACAATTGTCCCCTTGCTGCTTGTGATTCGACTTGTGTGCGGTCAGGTGTCAAACAAATGAACTCCTTCACAGCTTGTCTGTGTTTGAGTCTCACTGGAAACCCGACCCTGCTCACTTCAATGGCTTGCAAAACCCCTTGGTACTGTAGCTGCTGGACCACAGATCGTCTTTCGAAACATCCAGCGATATTCTGCTGATTTGGTTTGATGCATCTGACAAAATGCGGCTCTGTGGCACGAATCCGCTCCATGAGGTTTTGCAGTTGGCCACGAAATTCCGATGACACCGTATACAGCTTGGCTTTGGTACGTCGAACACCGGTAGACGCCACTGTCTCTTTGGTTCCAAACGTTCTGTCGCTGTCCCGGAAGAGCTTTGAAATAAAGTCCTCGGCGCTGAGAACTCAAACAACCCTCCAAACACATCAAACAATTCAGTGCAGCCTAGCGGCCATTGAGCTGCTCTTCATGCATTTCACCAGGTCAGCTCCAAGGGCGTCGCGGTTCTTTTCCACGAAGGTTTTGGACGTGTACTCCACAGGCCCTGCGAGTGAGTGTGAGTGAGGGTGAGAGAGTGCGAGCGCGAGCGTGAGTGAATGTGAGTGTGAGTGGAGAGTGAGTGTGACTGTGAGCGTGTGTGAGTGAGTGAGAGTGAGACTCTCACTCTCCCTCTCACTCACGCTCACATGCGCACTCACACTCACTCACCACCGCCACCAACACCTGTCCCTCCTCTCCCTCTCCCTGTCCCTTCTCCTTCTCCCCCTCTCCCCCTCTCCCTCTCTCCCTCCCTCTCCTCTCCTCTCC